TCTACAGTTTATTCAACTTAAAATCTATATGCGTATAACCGCTGGACACAGACCTCTTCTTATTTATGAAAAGACTTTTAAGTAAACAAATTATCCGTCTTACTGCTAAAATTCGTTGATTTTTAAATTATTTTCTGTTGTTTTCAAGGAGAAGAATTGCTTATCACCCGTTTCCCTCTCGCCTCTTACGGCATCCCGGGTTGGTGTAGTTGATTTTCTTACGCCGCTACTACATGACGATTCTTGTGATCACACAATTATTTGATTTATTTAATGAAAATAATAAAGTTTATTTTTTTAATAACTGTAAACTATTATTGCAGGCGTTAGCTTTATATAATTACAGGCTATCTAAAATCCATTTCTGAACATATGCGGTTTCACGTACTGATTGTCCCTTAAAGAAAATATGTGGTAGATGGGTTGGCAATCATAATTATTTATTTTCAATTGTTTTTAGGAAGACGCTGTGTTGCCATCTCCTCGTTTATTTTCCTCTGTCGCCTACTTCGATACCCACGGGACAATATTTTGTAGTGGATATTCTTGCACCTCTCTACTCGGTTCACTTTTTCCGTTTGACTTATGCTAGGATGCTAAAGGTTTTTCTATTGATTATAAAAAGTTGCTCGTTATAATAAAGTCAATACTATTTGGCTTATATACCTTGGCACAAAATTGTGTTAAACATGAAGTATCAGATAGGACGGTCGAAATAGTTAAAGAAATGGTATCGGCGTGTTATCCCGCAACTCACTTTAATAAATTAGGATAGACTATTCAATTTTCCTTAATACAAGCCAGCATCGGCAAGAAATTGCCTGTAAGGATGTCGTACCTAAAACTATAAGACGTATATCGAGGGCGAGGTTTGATTAATTAATCTTCCGTTAACAGGCACAATTGCTTATTAAGGTCGAAACTTCACAGACTGTTGAAATTACTAATAACAAAATCATTACGCTCACCTATATGTATGTGTATATTTATTGAGTATATTATATCATTTTTAATTCAATAATTCTTAAAGATATTAAACATTAATTAGCCAAGATCCGCGTAATAAAATAAAAATGAGGTGCATATTCTACTTCACCTGAGGACATCTCGCTTAGAGGCGAAACACGTGTAGTATTATCGTAGGTAGTGGCCTTGCCTAGTAAAGTGGTGCTGGGAGTAGTGGTGTTGGTATTAGTGGTGATCGGGATAGTGCGATAGGTGCTCTTTAAACTGAGTAAGACAAATCATTTTATTATATCATATTAAATAATTTTTAACATCTTTAATGTAATGGATTTCCGCAAAGCAAAACCTGATTCAATTAATAATCAATAATGCTTCTTATTAATATTTAGTAGTATGTGATTATTTGCCTCATAAGGGCGATATTTGATGAGTGCAGTGCTCGTGAAATGTGGATGGCTCCGTTCAATTAGATGCGATGCTGAGAGCCACGGGTTTGAATCCCGCACGAAATATGTATTAGTATGTCTTACAAATAATATTTTCCAGTCAGTCTTTAACGGTGGTAGAGTCACGCAGCAGCTTTTGCTGTCGCACGTATGGGCCGGCTCGAGCCGGGTTAGTACCACGACCTCACAGAATACCGGCTTGAAGTGAAAGCTCTGCTTCCGCGTTTCGTCTGGTGAGTGCAGGTGACCGGAGGCTCAATCCCCCTCTCCATCGACATGGTAGCGGAATTTCATCATAGACTACCCCAGGAAGGTACCAGCACCCCTGGAGAATCCCTTGCTGAAAATCCACGATCATGCTATTCCACTCCTCAGCGGGGGTGCTCAGGCTTCCCCGTGTATTATGGGGGGGGGGGGCAAAATTCCGCTCAACACAATAACTGCTCGGGGCAAACTAAGCAACAAGAGCAAGGCAACCCCTGTCACGCTATCCGTGAACTTCTGCAACATCAGGGGACTTCACTCGAACCTAAACGCCATCCACTACCATCTCGAGACGGCGAAGCCGACCTAGCTCTTTCTGACCGAAACGTAGGACACCTACGTTTCGGTCAGGCTCTGGCTGATAATTCGTATCTCTCTTACCCGAGGTACTACTTGAAGCTTTCCTTTGTGCCTCGGGCTGGAGTTTGCGTATACGTCAGAGAGGACATCTGTTCTCGACACCTCGGCAGTCTTGAAGGTTCGGACCTGTCCATCCTTTGACTACGCGTAGACAGCGACAACCATCCGTGCGTCTACGGGTGCCTCTAAAGGTCCCATAGAGGTAATGCCAAAACAGACCGACTCATCGACCACGTCCAATTGGCTACAGATTCCTTGCTACAAAAGTTCCCATTCGCAGAGATCGTTATCCTTGGAGATTTTAACGCCCACCACGCCGAATGGCTCGGTTCACGTTTAACCGATCATGCGGAGAGATCTGTTTATGACTTTGCCTTAGCATATGGTCTGACAAAACTTGTTACATCGCCTACGCGGATTCCAGATGTTGAGGATCATACACCTTCCATGTTGGACCTTCTGCTGACATCGCATCCGGACGGATATCAGGTTTCCGTTGATACCCCTCTCGGCTCTTCGGAACATTGTCTGATCTGGAGTGTGGTGCCACTCACGCTCCCCTCGCGGTTGCGTTCTGCAGGTTGCCGCCATGTTTGGCAATACAGGTGGGCGAATTGGGACGGAATGCGGTCTTTCTTTGCTTCCTACCCATGGGGGCGGGTTTGCTTCTCGCCGGATGATACCAGCGCTGTTGCTGACTCTGTCAATTATGTGGTGCTACAGGAAATGGGACTATTAATTCCATCAAATGTGATACCCATCGGAGGCCTCAGCCTTAGTTTGGTCGCTCCTGTAAGACTGCATTTCGCAGTAAGCAGGAGTGTTATTAAGCCTGGGCTACGGCTTTGGTGACTCGGGACGTAAACACCAGCATACTTAAAAAGAAGTATAACTTCACCTCCAGGTCCTTCAAAAAAGTTATTGCCAAGGCAAAGTCAGAGCACATAGGCAGAGGATTGTGGGGATTCCACCACATTATTACACACACCTCATATATGCACACAGAAACACAGTAACACTTACACATAAACACATACAACAACTACAGTAAACGTAATTAATTATATATTATGTAACCATTATAGAACAAGCATTTAACACATTGGGACCATTGTGGATCGACCTTTTTCTAGACAGAGCGGCCGGGGATTGAATCGCGGCGCTCGCGCATATCCTGTTGTACTTGTATCAAGTTAGTTACCTGCTGATCGCCTCTGCGACTAGACCCTTGTAACATCTTTGCGCCCGCGGCTAACCACGTACAGTTTATTTGTTAATGCTATCTCTTACTTTCTTGCTTGTGCTATTCTTTGTAACTTGTGCTCGCTTCCCTTCTGACTCTTTATTGTAGTGTGCTTTGTGTCGTGGACTATTAAAAGACTGGAACGTTAATATAAACTGTTTTCTTCACTAAACCTACGACGCCTTACGCCATAAAAACCTACAACTGGTGACCCCTGCAGAAGACGCTACAGGTACAATGAGTAGTGGTAGTGAATCGCCAGAAACGGCATCAGAACAAAATGTTACCACGCGCCCATGTACAAGGCGCAAGCACAGATCGCACGTCGACCTTACATCAGACGTTAATCGAGTTAGCGTACGTATACCGCCATTTTGGCCGGACGATCCTGAATTATGGTTTGCGCAAATAGAGGGTCAATTCACAATTTCAAACATATTATCGGATACCACAAAATTTTATTATGTGACGAGTAATTTAGATCCTCAATATTCTAAAGAAGTAAAAGATATTATTGTTTCTCCGCCTTCTAGTAACAAATACGAGAAACTTAAAGACCAACTGATTAAACGCTTGTCAGCATCGCGTGAAAGGAAGATTCAGCAGTTACTCATGCACGAGGAATTGGGAAATCGGAAACCTTCCCAATTCTTACGACACCTGCAGAGCTTGGCAGGTCCCTCGGTACCCGAGGACTTTGTACAGAGCATATGGAGCAGCCGACTTCCCAACAACATCCAAACGCTGATTGTGTCGCAACCAACCAGCTCATTGGACGTTTTAGCCGATCTAGCAGACAGAATATATGATATAGTATCTCCAACACTTCAAGTCGCAACAACCTCACGTAATACATCGACACCAGGTACCAGTACGCAGTCTATGGAGAATGAAATAGCGGAGCTGAAAGCAGCTGTTAAGAACCTTACCATGCAATTGAGCAGACGTTCCAGACCACGTGACCGTTCTAGCATCCGAAATCGCAGACGTTCAACTTCCCGATCTGACTCCAGCTACAGAAGATACCCAACCTGTTGGTATCACTCGAAATATGGAGATAAGGCCAACCGGTGCATCAAACCCTGCGATTTTGGAAAATCGGGAAACGCTCGAAGCAGTCGGTGATGGCGACTGACGACTGCTTAACTTCTTCGGGTCGCCTCTTCGTTACTGACCGAAACTCCAAGAGCCAATTCCTTGTGGACACTGGAAGTGACGTGTGTGTGTTTCCGCGTACGGCACTTCGCGAACGACGGAGTAAGACATCTTGTCAATTATCAGCAGCTAATGGTAGTGCAATTGATACATACGGGTATTTACAACTTAATTTAAATTTAAATTTACGACGTAATTTTCCATGGAATTTTATTGTTGCCGATGTAATTAAAGCCATAATAGGAGTAGATTTTCTTAGTCACTATAACCTAATTGTAGACGTTAAGAACAAACGATTAATTGATAATTTAACATCCTTGTCGACAATTGCTTTTATTGCTAAAAATGTAAATAATATTAATTCTGTTAAGGTTCCTATTGGCGACACACGATACCACACTATTTTAGCTAAATATCCAGAAATAACACGACCAGCAGGCACACCACACACCTCTGCACATAATACAGTACACTACATTCGCACTACGCCTGGACCTCCCATATCCTGCCCTCCTCGCAGGTTAGCTCCTGACAGGCTTGCAATAGCTAAGAAAGAATTTGAGCTGATGCTGAGCAACGGAACGGCGCGTCCTTCTGAGAGCTCCTGGGCATCTCCTTTACATATGGCTCCCAAAAAAGGCAATGGGTGGCGCCCCTGCGGAGACTACAGGCTACTCAACGCACGCACCATACCAGATAAGTACCCAATCAGACACATTCATGATTTTTCGCACAACATATCAGGATGCACCGTATTCTCGACTATCGACCTTGTCAAAGCGTATAACCAGATCCCCGTCTTTGAGGATGACATCCAGAAAACGGCAATCACCACACCGTTTGGGTTGTACGAATTCCCATGCATGACTTTCGGACTCCAGAACTCCGCACAAACGTTCCAAAGGTTCGTAGATGAAATTACTAGAGGACTGGATTTCTGTTACTGTTACTTAGATGACTTCTTAGTATTTTCTGGAAGTGCTACTGAGCACGAACATCACCTCAATATTCTCTTTGGCCGAATGAAGCAGTACGGAGTACTGGTGAACACCTCTAAGTGTGTATTTGGTTCATCACAGGTACAGTTTCTGGGGTACCACATTTCAGCTGCAGGTACTAAGCCACTTGAGTCAAAAGTTCAAGCCATTAAAGAATTCCCTAAGCCCCGAACAGTCAAGCGCTCAGACGTTATTTGGGCATGCTTAATTTCTATAGGCGGTTTTTACCAGAAGCCGCAAAAATTCAAGCACCCTTAAACGCCTTATTAACTGGTTCGGTGAAGGCTTCACAAGCTATAGACCTAACAGGCGACGCTCTAACAGCTTTTGAGCAGTCCAAGGACAGTCTTTGCAATGCTGCCCTATTAGCACATCCCGATTGCCAAGCCAAATTAGCTCTGGTAACGGATGCATCAGACTTAGCATTGGGTGCTGTACTGCAACAGTACAAAAATGATGCCTGGCAGCCATTAGCATTTTTTTCGCGAAAGCTTAGCCCAGCACAACAGAAGTACTCACCCTACGACCGTGAGTTGCTGGCTATATATGAAGGCATTAAGTATTTTCGCCACATGCTCGAGGCACGCCACTTCACAGTCTATACTGACCATAGGCCTTTATGTTATGCATTCCATGTAAGGAAAAATAACTGTTCGCCGCGTCAGTATAGACATCTAGATTTTGTGTCTCAATTTACAAGCGACATTCAGCACATATCCGGCAAGGATAATATCGTTGCTGATACTCTGTCGCGCGTGGACGAAATACAGCAGCCGGTGGATTTTAAAGAGCTCGCAAAAACTCAGTCCACAGATTCCGAGCTATCACAGCTTCTAGGCGATGAATCATCACTTCGCATTATTAAAGTTAAAGAGCCCGACAGCAAAGTCGAAATTTTTTGCGACATAAGTCTAGGCATACCAAGACCTTTCGTTCCCAAAAGTTTTCGAAAAGCTATTTTTGACAGTCTACATTCTTTAAGTCACCCTGGTGCAAACGCTACTGCTAAGCTGGTAGCACAGCGATTCGTTTGGCCAGGAGTCAGAAAAGACTGCCGAGAATGGTCTCGTACGTGCTTAGCCTGCCAGCGCTCTAAGGTAAGCCGCCATGTGTCAGCACCTTTAGGCACATACGATTTACCACGAACCAGGTTTTCCTATGTGCATATCGATCTTATTGGTCCACTCCCATACTCGAATGATTTCCGCTACTGCTTAACAGCAGTTGACCGTTTCACGAGATGGGCAGAAGTTATGCCCATAGCGGATATTACAACCGAAACTGTAGCGAAGGCACTCCTATCAGGTTGGATCGCCAGATTTGGTTGTCCAACTGACATAGTGACGGACCGTGGACGGCAGTTCGAATCCCATTTATTTAATTATCTATCGAAAATAATCGGATTCAAACACCGCAGAACCACAGCTTACCATCCCGCTTCTAATGGCCTAGTGGAAAGTTTCCACCGACAGCTGAAGACAGCTATTACATGTCACGCGGATAGCAACTGGACGGAATCTTTACCTCTAGTACTATTGGGCATCAGAAGCGCATTTAAAGCTGATCTGCAGTGTTCCTCAGCAGAACTCGTCTACGGCGAGCCTTTAAGACTCCCAGGCGAATTTTTCGAAAGCACAGTAAGCACCACAACTGACATTACGGATTTTACTGCACGAATTCGTTCAGTTTGTGAGAAACTGCAGCCTCGTCCCGCATCACGGCATAATAAAAATAAAATATTTATATATAAGGATCTCGCTAATTCCAGCCACGTATTCCTTAGGGAAGACCGGCTGAAAAGCACCTTCCATCCTGCATATTCCGGTCCACATGAAGTGACCGAAAGAGGTGATAAAGTATTTAAGATCATCGTTAAAGGTAAGCAGATAGCAGTTTCTATAGACCGTCTGAAACCGGCCTATATGCTGAACACCGATCCGCCTTGCGCACGTCTCTCCTGATTGCAGCCCCAAAGTCAGGGACGGCAGTTTAGAAAACCGGAAAACTACAAGGGCCGGTAGGCATGTCAGATTTCCTGATTTTTATCGACCGTAGGCACGGCCTCTGGGGGCGAGTGATGTGGGGATTCCACCACATTATTACACACACCTCATATATGCACACAGAAACACAGTAACACTTACACATAAACACATACAACAACTACAGTAAACGTAATTAATTATATATTATGTAACCATTATAGAACAAGCATTTAACACATTGGGACCATTGTGGATCGACCTTTTTCTAGACAGAGCGGCCGGGGATTGAATCGCGGCGCTCGCGCATATCCTGTTGTACTTGTATCAAGTTAGTTACCTGCTGATCGCCTCTGCGACTAGACCCTTGTAACATCTTTGCGCCCGCGGCTAACCACGTACAGTTTATTTGTTAATGCTATCTCTTACTTTCTTGCTTGTGCTATTCTTTGTAACTATTATTGTGCTCGCTTCCCTTCTGGCTCTTTATTGTAGTGTGCTTTGTGTCGTGGACTATTAAAAGACTGGAACGTTAATATAAACTGTTTTCTTCACTAAACCTACGACGCCTTACGCCATAAAAACCTACAGGATCACCAGCTGATTAGTGACCGCCAATATGGTTTTCGTTGGAGTCGGTCAGCTGGTGATCTTCTGGTCTACTTAACTTATAGATGGGCGGAGACAGTAGAGTCCAAGGGGGAGGCATTGGCCGTTAGTTTGGACATTGCGAAGGCCTTCAATCGGATTTGGCACAAAGCGCTTCTTTCGAAGCTCCCTTTCTATGGGCTTCCAGAGAAATTGTGCAATTGGATCACCAGCTTTCTTGCAGATCGGAGCATCAAGGTCGTTGTAGACGGTGCATGCTCCGACTACAAGCCTATTAACCCTGGTGTTCCACAAGGCAGCGTGCTATCACCAACGCTGTTTCTTCTGCATATCAATGATATGTTGCAAACCGGTAGCATTCATTGCTATATGTATGCGGATGACAGCACTGGTAATGATCTATACACCGGCCGTGCCAATATTTCTCGGGAAACCGTCGCCGAGTACTGGAACAAACTTGTGTCTGAAGTCGTGTCTTTGCTGAACAAAGTCTCGGTTTGTGGCGACTAAATCTAGTCCAGTTTAATCCTCAGAAGACACAACTTTGCGCGTTTACCGCTAAAAAGAACCCCTTTGTCGTATCTCTTCAGTTTCAAGGTACTGCCCTTGTTGCCTCAGCTAGTATCGGAATCCTCGGCGTCGACATATCGACTGACGCGCAGTTTCGTTGTCACTTGGAAGAGAAGGCCAAATTGGCCTCTAAAAAGCTTGGCGTGCTCAGCAGTGCGGGACAGTATTTCATGCCGGCACAATGACTTTTCCGGAACGGTACGACTTAGGGACCTCAAGAAAATAGCCTTCTCCTTTTTAAAAGGTCGGCAACGCATCTGCAATTCCCCTGGTGTTGCCATTGTTCATGGGCGGCGGTAGTCACGCAGCTCACCATCAGGTGAGCCGCATGCTCGTTTGCCCCCTCTCGCACCTGTGGCAAATTATTTTTTTAATAATAATTTGCCATAGATGCGACGCTACATGCAGACGGGTTGGCAACCACAGCGCTTTCATTTTCTGGATAAAATTAGAAAGTTTGTGCTGCCCATCTTTTCTTTTGTTATCCCTGTCTACTCTTAGCACACCCGCGCCATAATATGTAGTAGTGGATATTCTTATACCGCCACAAAACAGTTAGTCTTGAATACTGAATCAAAGTTGTGTTTCTGCAGGCAGCTTTACATTAGTAGAATATCCAACAATGCAAGCATCTACCCGCTTGGCTGGCGAAGGTATTATGAAACAAAGTTTGCAGGTTTACTTATACATAATAGGTATAATATAACTAATATCGACTAGAAGTAAAAATCAAAAATAAAAAAAAACACTCAAAACAAAACTTGTATTATAAACTTCGTATTACATTTACAATATCAATTATTAATTAGCAACTTAAGCAAATATCTAATTCCTAGCACGTCCGCTCTCTCCGACGGTTCGAGCCAAAGTGCTGCTGCAACCGCGACCGGCTTTTACCCCACCATCTCGGTGACGCAACCGTAAGCCACGCCTTCTTTTAGTCATCATCTTGTGACATAACATAGTATCCTCTAGTTGATTATTTCCTTTAAAATATTAAAAAACTTAGATTTACTCCTGCTTTCACTTTTCTGAATTTTCCTTAAAGCTATCGCCTCATTTTGAACTTTTGATCTTTGCGATGAACAGTTTTCCTAAGAGACTACTGCGGTAACAATGCTCATTTGATACCCGATAATTAGTTCCGGACAACCACTTACCATCAGTTGGACTGTGTGCTCGTTTGTCACCGTAGCCTATAAAAAAAGCATTTTCAAAGTGGATACTACCGAACCATACCTAATACCTAACCCATATACACTTGATTAAATTCAAGCATCCTATTAGTCTGTATTGTCACCTCTAAAAACTATCTTAGTCCTTAGAAATGCCTTGTTTCTAGTAAACAGCTTCTCCGGTGGTATAATCATATAAAAACTTTCTCCTCACCAATAAATATTAAAATAAACCAAATCAAACCGAAACCTATTAAAGAAAACATAAAAGAGTTCTTTTTTTAAAAACTTATGGGCAAAAACTTAGTACTCAGTTTGCGGAATCAATATATTTCGTAACTTAAAACTTATATGAAACGAACATGAAGAAAAAATGAGAGCAGCCTTAAGAAAGAAAACGTCGCAACTTCCTTGCCAAAATATGTAATTTCCTTTGATTTATCACGTGTTACGTTGTGAGATTTGATTCAATATAAAAAGCATTTTTTTTTTTCTGTTATCCTTGTATGCTGATTTTGTAAATACCGAAAAAGATGCTTCATTGTACAGAGTAGAACCACGCTGCTAACTTATTATGGTTGTAACACAAATAAGTCAGCTCCACCAGGGACGGACAAAACAACACAAGGAAACAGGTGACAACGCATATATTGTGTATTTTGATTAATAGAGGATAGCTTATGTCGTTGAGTCAGTATTCACTTACCATTAGGTAGACTGTGTGCCCGAGCATCGTGATCTTGTAAAAAAAGATGACAAGAGAAATTGTATAGTTGAAGACAAAATATTTCACTCTATCTTGCAATGTTCGGCGTTTTGGCATGTCTGCTAAATTACGTTCTTTTTTCTTATTAGCCCATTAAAGTCTATTACTGAACATTGGCTTCTACTGTTCAAGGAAAGATTTTCCATAATCGATACGCTTCATTCATTTCTGAGTATTTTACGCCTAGTGTAAAAGAGATGGTTATACTGTCGTTTATCGTCAACAATTAAGATATATATATATATATATATATATATATATATATATATATATATATATATATATATATATATATATATATCATAATCCTTTAATTATTCAAAGGCATACCCCATATTAGCCTCTTACGGCACTCACGGGTTCATATGGTGCGATGGATCTTATGCCACTACGACATCGCTCACTAAAACTAAATAATATTACATTACATGCTTTATAATAATGTCCCCCAGACCCAATTTTGTCACAGTGGCCAGTCTCAACAGGATAATAGTGCCCAAGTGTTGTGCAAGAGCGGGAGCACTACTAATGTTATCAGATTCATAGTGCTCAATGCCACCGTCTTGACGTGCTTTCCAAGGCACAGGTGTATAACACTGCAACTTCCCCACTCCGAGCTGATACAGAGAATTTCTTGAGAGAAATACTGGGTTATTGATTTCTTTTTCCCAACCCGGGATTCGAACCTGGGAAATCATAATCAGTAGTACCTTTACGACCACTATTCCAACGAGGATGTCACATACACACTACGTTATAATCCTAACAAATAAAAACGTAACGCAAACATATATAAAAGCTATTTATATTTTCCAGTGTTCGACACGCTCGCTTGTAGGCGGTTACATGAATAACAGATTCGGGTAATGTTTCTGGACCGCTTTAATTTTACGTCAAGTATTTCACACGTAATATTATTATTTTGGGAAAAAATATTTTAAATATGTCACCCGGTTTTATTTTATTTATTTTGAAACTTCTACCAAAGAACCAAAGAAACTAAAAATAAAAATAGGTAAATAGAAGTGACGTACAAATCCAAAACTCCACTCACCTGAGCAATAAAAAGTTCGATAACGGTGATGTAATGGGTTATTCCGTTAAAGCTATTAAATTCCTTATCTCATTTCGTGATTCTATTCTATTTTTGTGAATCCCACCAGTGTTACGTCCTGATAAACGTGCCTCAATTTGTAATGAGTTCAGCTATCCTACTTTTCTGTCAACTCTTGCCGAATAGATGGTTTTATAGAATTCTAATTTTCAATTTGTTTGTATTGTATTTTAAGCTGGTATGTACTACATTTATCTAATTAAAAATCAGCCCTTAATTTAATTACCTTAACTTTGTTGTTCACATGTAATAACGTGAGTTTTGTTACGTTACAAATGATGCGACGCTAAATGTTCAGTGCATGTGAGGCGAGGGATACTGGTCTAATTTACCTATCCGGTAGTTGTGGTATGGTATACGGGTACGCCCCTAGCCATGCATCGATACGGGTGCGGATCGATGCATGGCTAGGGGCGAGCCTAGTCGTTAGCGTGCCACACTGCCCTGGGACCGGGCGACCCCAGAATTAGGCTAGCCTTACCCTGACATGCGGGGCTCTGCTGGGAGGGACAAACCTTTCCCTCGCTATTCGTGGGAACGCAATGGATAATCATAAAAATAATTTAATTAACCAAAATGGCGGCGATGTGGTTCGCCACCCATCACGTCTCGTTTCTCGTGGGGGCGAAAAGCGGAAAGCCGCTTCGCTACGTTGAATGTAAGAGGATGAATGAATGGTAAGGTAGATGAATTATGTCAGATGATGGATGAACATTGCATTGATATTCTGTGCGTGAACGAAACC